AACCTTTCCCCAAACCCTTCTTGAAAATTAGGGCCCGGGCCCCCCCCCCCCCCTTTTACTTCCCCCAGAGGATGAGGGTACAGTCCAAAGTAAGCACAAGTTTACTTAAGGTTAATGCTTATTGGTAGGGCATTAAAAAAATATATTAAATTCCCCCATTGGGGGGTGGAGGATTTAGAGTTAAGACACCCCAAAATTTTCGGGCGTGAGATCCAAAATGGTTCGGACGATGGAGGGGGGGGGGGTGCTCGTTGCTTGAAGTGGACCAATATAACACAGAGCCATCCAAGCAAAGCTTATTACTCACCTGAACGACCTGACCAACCACGCAAAAACTGCGGAGCTAGATGTGCGGCACGCACAATGAATTGTTTTCGATTGGAGAGAGGCGAGTACAAAGCAGTAAGGAATTGTTGGCCAAACTTTCGGCAGATAGGTCTACTCGGGAGCGTAAGTGGGGTAGCAATCCATGGTGGAGCGTACATGAGAAGGTGGACGTTGTTGTACGATCCATCCCGGCGTGTGAGTAGGATCTTAGGCTATGCAAGTCGTCCCTGAACTTATTGTGGTGAAAATGACCTCCCAGGAGGAAAGTAGCCTGTACCGCGGGACTTCGGAGATGACAAATTGGGTGGTCGGGGGACGTCTGGGTGTTTACTAAGCAGAACGCCCGGCACAAGACTGGGGTACTTGTGCCAGGAGGTGTGAACTTGGATCTAGACTACGAGCCCATGTTGGAGGCGCTATTTAGCGTCGGTGAGCCGGCAAAAGAACTGAAAGGAACCACAACCCCCACCGGACACTCGGATTGGGAAGGCCGAGTATTCCGTATACCTTCCTGAAAAAACACGAAAAACAAGTGGCCGAGGTCCAGTTGCTGTAGAGATCATGAGGATGGTGAAGAAGCCGGGAGGATGGAAGCAGAAACTGTGGCAGGGAGACAGGTTGGAGCTGCTGCTGTTTGGAATATCCAAGGGACATGACGAGGATAGAGTTCAAGAACTGGTGTGACACGGAGGGACTGCATTGCCTAGCAAGGGGAGAAGTAGGCAGAGAGCATGAACACTTCCGGGTGAAATTGACCAAGGGAGACAGCCAAGAGTGCTTGGGGGTTGACATCGAGAAGCTGTCGAACTACGTAAGGAAGGTTGGATGGAGGGTTTGCGTCGCGAACATGATAGGAACAGAGAAGGTAAGGCGACAGGAGGCGAGGGCGATAGAGGCGAAGAAGAGACCGGGCGGGGGAGACGAGCAGGCAAATCAGAAGAACGCCGAGAAGAAGCGGAAGGCGAAGGATAGAGTGCGCAAAATCTCCAATAGGGAAAAGCACAAGCTGAGAGTGGGGTCGTGGAACGTGTGCGGGTTCGCAAGGAGTGAGCGCAAGCGGTTGGAAATAGTGGACCAAGTAGAACAAAGCGATCTGGATGTAGTGGGGATCCAAGAGACGTGGGAACTGAAGGATGGGGACGTGGTAAGCAAAATAGGGAAGTACCGGTGGGTAGGGAAGGCAAGAAAGGGCTTAGACCCGAAGAAAAGGGGGGAGGGGGGAATCGGATTCCTGGTCAAGGAACACTTGTATGACGTGGTGGAAGTAGTGGTGAAAACGGAGTTCGAGGAAAGCCTATGGCTTAAGATACCTGGGGAGCGGGGTGAGAAAGATTTGTTTCTAGGGAACGTATGCGTCCCACCGTCGTCGAAGAAAGTCGCAAGCAAGGCGCAGGAGAACTTCGGACAAATTGGGGAAGATGTCCAGAGGTTCAGTAGGAAGGGAGAAGTTGTCATGGTGGGCGATTTCAACTCCAGAGTAGGGAAAGCTTGCAGTAGAGGACAGGCGATCGGGCAGCACGGAGAAGACAAAGTGAATGACAACGGAGTGAGGATGCTTGAATTCTTGGGAAGCAACGAGCTGATGGTGTTGAACGGTAGGAGGGAAAGCGATAAGCCAGAGTTCACCAGGCAGAGGGCAGTTTGCAATGAATACTCGATCCTCGACTACATCCTGGTAGATAGGGGGAGCACACAGGTCCCGGAGCTGCACGTAAGTGCGATAGATATAGGTTCGACCGACCATTTCCTCATATGGGCAAACATCGACCGATCTAGAAAGACGGAGAGTAAGAAAAAGAGGAAAGTGTTCCGGTGGAAAGTAGAGCGTTTGGGAGACGAGGGGACACGCGATGAATTCCAGAAGGGATTGGCTGGTAGTGTAGAACCCTTCAGGAAACTGCTGAGAAGCGTCGAAGACGGAAAGGTAGACGTACAAGCAGCAGGGGACAGGGTGATTGAAGGATGGGAGTCCATAGTGAACACAACGGCAGAGAGAGTAGTGGGAAAGAAGGTGGTACGATGTGGGGTATCGGTTAAGTGGTGGGATGACGAGCTGAAAGAAGAAATAGGGGAACGTAGAGAAGTCTTCAAGCAGTACCTGGGTGAGGGGTCTGAAGAGAGTTGGGAAAAGTACAGGGCCAAGAGGAAACAGGTGAAGGGACTAGTGAAAAAGAAGAAAAAGAGCATTTGGGACGAAGTAGTGCAGAAGGCCAACGGAGGCCTGGAGGGGAACGTCAAGCAGATGTGGGAAGGGATTAGTGGGATGGTAAAAAAGACCGCGCAAGGGGGGGATACAGGGGTAGCAACATTGCGAAGTGTGAACGGTGGACTAGTCAGCAGTGGGAAGGGAAAAAGGGAAGTTCTAGCAGGACACTACAAGAGACTTGGAGTGCCTTCGGAGAATGAAGATTTTGACCAAGTGTTTAAGAAGGAGGTGGACGCATGGGCCCAGAAAGAAGAAGAGACATCGAAGGCAGACGTTGGGAACGTAGAACTAGAAAAGGAGTTCACTGAGGACGAGGTTGAGGCGTGTGTGAACAAGCTGCAGTGCCACAAAGCAGCAGGGGCGGATGGGATAGTAAACGAGTTCATGAAGTTTGGGGGCAAGGGGATGATCCAGCTGATGGTACTGCTGTACAACTGGGTGTGGAAAAACGAGTATGCGCCAAGTAGATGGAGGGAAGGAGTGGTTGTGAACTTGTTTAAGAAAGGAGACAAGACTGACCCAGGAAACTACAGGGGTATCACACTGTTGAACACAGTAGGAAAAGTGTTCTGTAAGCTGCTGAACGATAGGATAGTGGGAGTATTGGAGAAGAAACGTAGCATTAGTGAGGGCCAGGCAGGTTTCCGACAGAAGAGGGGGTGCGTAGACCACGCATTCACGGTAGGGAGAATCATCCAAGGTAGAAAGAGGGCGGGCAAGCGGACGTACTGCTTCTTCCTGGACGTGAAAAAGGCATACGATACCGTATGGAGAAATGGGCTGTGGAAACAATTGTCCAAGTACGGGATCAAGGGGAAAATGTGGAGGGTGCTGAAGAAGATGACAGAGTGTACGAAAAGCGCGGTCATGCTAGACGGAGAACTGTCTAAATTCTTCGACATTGAGCAAGGGGTCCCACAAGGTTGCACGCTGTCCCCAACATTGTTCCAGGTGTTCATCAACGATCTGTTGGAAGTCGTAGAGGCAGTCCGGAAGGGAGTAAAAGTAGGGGACACGGAAACTTCGGTGTCAGGAATGCTGTTTGCGGATGACTTTGTTGGTATGTCGGACACCCCTGAGGGACTGCAACTGCAAATTGACGCGGCGAAGAAGTTTACTGATAAGTGGAGATTGTCTGCCAACGTTACGAAGAGTGCCGTCATGGTATGCAACGAGGGCAGGGAGGAACCAGTAGAACATAGATGGAAGTGGGGGATCGAGGAGATTGCAGTAGTCGACCAGTACACATACCTCGGAGTAGAGATCGCAAAAGATTGCTCGTGGAATGCACACATGTCCAACGTAGCGGAAAAGGGCAAAGCACGAGCAGGGAAGCTGCACCCAATACTCGCAAACCGGCACCTTGATACACGCATCAAATTGACGGTTTTGAAGAGCGTAATCGTACCGCCGCTGGAGTACGCCGGAGAAGTATGGGAAGGAAATAAGAAGGTAGTGAAAGAACTCGAGGCGGCGCAGATGAAAGCAGCGAAAATTATCCTAGGATGCTCCAAGCGCACAAGTAATGCAGCAGTCAGGGCAGAATTGGGGATCCAATCCCTACGGTCGGGAAGAGACGTAAGGAAGCTGACATGGCAGTACCGCATGTGCGGGATGGGAGAGGAGAGGTTGCCGAGAATAGTATGGGAGGCGAAGTGGGCAAATAAAAAGAGGGGTAGACAACCCACGGAATGGGTCAAGGTTGTAGAGGACGTATGGAAGGGATTGGACATCGACGAAGATGAAACGCTGGAAACGGAGGGTCTACAGGGGTTCAAGAAGAAGATATCTGTTGCTTGTGCCGACAGAGAAGAACAGAATCTAAGGAAAGAATCCAAGGATAAGGAGGGTCTAGAAGTGTACGGAATGTTGAAAGAAGGAATAAGGTTCAAGGATTACCTACATGGACCAATGGATGCAGGGACAAAGCTTAAGGTCAAATTCAGGACCGGGGACATAGGCCTTCGCGAACGTCGACGAAGACATAGGACGGTAGACGACGAAGACGACAAGTTCAAATGTGATTGCGGCTTCGAATGCGAAGACAGTGTTCATGTAGTCGCGGAATGTCCGTGGTACGAAAAGGAGAGGGAAGTGTACATGACTGAGCTGGGAAGAATACAAGGGACGTACAGGGAGATGTTTGAGGCATGGAATAGAGAGGAGAGGACGGTAGCGGTACTGGGGAGTAGGAAGTGGTTTGAAAAGGGCGGGAAGTGACATCGGTAGGATAGACAGACTAGGGAAGACATTTTTGAGCCACCTTTGGCAAAGTAGGAAGGAACGATTGGCCATCGGTGATCGGTCCTGTGGGAACAATGCTCCGTCCTCTCGAGGACGCGTGGTCAATGGTCTAACCGCTAAGGCATGCAAAGCATAAGAGTACGCCCCCCCCCCCCCCCCCCCCCTCCCCCTTTTTTATTCCTTAAAAAAAAATTTTTTACCCCAAAAAGGGGGGTGAATTTCAAAAGGACCCCTTTTTGGAAAAAAAAAAACTTTTCCCGGGCTGTAAAAAAACGGGGGGGCACGGCCCAAAAAAAAAAAAAATTTTTTTTTTGGGTTTAAACCCCCCCCCTTTGGGGGAAACCCCCTTTTGCCCCGTGGGTTTATTTTCCGGTTGGGGGATTTTTTTGGGTTTGTAATTTTTGGAGGAAAAAAGAATTAACCCAAGGGGTACCCCCCGCTCCCCCCCCCCCCCTTTTTTCGCCAATTTGGAAAAAAAAGGCGAAAAAGGAAAAATTCCCCCCGGCCCTCCTTCCTTTTCCTTTTTTCCAAAAAAAATCCCCGGGGAAAACACAAAGGGGGAGAAAATCCCCCCCCCCCCCCCCCCCCTTGAATGTCAACATGTTTTCAAAAAGGGTACCCCCCCGGGCGGTCCAGGCGCGCGAGCCCGCGAACCCCCCGGCATAAGGAGTCCACTGTCCGGTTCCCGCGCTGTTCGCCGGGTGAGGGGCTCCATCCGCGGCCGAAACAACGGGCTCAACGGCACCGGCGGCGGCGGCGGCAGCAGCGGAGTAGGCGGCAGCACCAACACGAAGAAACACCAACAGCATCACCCCGGACGCCGGCGGCCCGGAAAA